TGGCTGGCGCATTCGTGAGACCGAAGGGCATGACGGTAAACTCGTACAGCCCATCGCGAGTTTTGAATGCGGTTTTGTGCTGGTCCGCAGGATCGGCTTCGATCTGGTGGTAGCCAGACTTGAGATCGATCTTGCTGAAGACTTTGCACCCACCTGCAGCATCAAGCAAATCATCGATACGTGGCAAAGGATATGCATTCTTTCTCGTGATCCGATTCAACCCGCGGTAGTCAATACACATCCGCAACTTACCTCCTTTCTTAGGGACAAACAGCACCGATGCACCAAACTCCGACTCACTCGGCTTGATCCATCCCTTCCCAATCGTTTCATCAATCTGCCTTCGCAACTCCTCCAATTCGCTTGAGCCCATTCGATAGACACAACCCTTTGGAGGAGTGCTACCTTCAATCAACTCGATCCTGTGTCGGACCGGACGCACGGGGACTCCATGCGGTTCGGCCAAGACGTCAGGAAATCGATTGAGAAGGTTGCGAATGTCCGGTGGGATTTCCGGAGGGGGATCATCACTCTCAGGAGCAAGCATGTCAGTTTGTATAGGTGCAGCCAAAACAACAGGATTAGAAGTAGAGTCATTTGGACTAGAGATGGACTTAGTAGAGGTAGAAGTAGTTGCATTCGAGGTGTACACAGCATGCAAAGTAGAATCACTATGTACAACAAAAATAGAAGGCACATGAGCAGGCCTAACAAAGGCTATATACAGTTGCTCATCAGTTTTGCGCCTGCGCCACTTTTTGCAGAATTGCATTGCATTGAGAAAGGTCACTTGGGACTCGCGCGGCTCATCCAAGAGGACGGGACGCTCGATCCCCATGGCATCTTTGACCATGAATTGTGAGTCCTTCCACGTGGTTCTTTCACATCGGGCCTGCAACCAGCCCAAGCCAATAACCGCGTCGAAGGGGAACTGATCAAGGACATAGAAGTTCAATTCATGCATGATTGTGCGATCAGCGTCAAAGGTAGTGCGCACACCTTTGACTGCATGCGTGGGAGTGACAACCTCTTGGTTGCCTACTTGGGTCCGACAAGGACTCTGCAAAGTCACTTGCTTCATCTCCAAGCGTGCCTTACGAATGTCGTGCGGTGAGAAGTAGTTGGCGGTTGCACCACAATCAGCCAACGCACGAATGTAACGGCCATTAATGTAGAGTTTGAAGAAGATCAACTTCGTCCTCCCTTGCGCGCGTTCTTTCTTCATGTGAGCCCAGCGCGCCAACAGAGCATGGAAGTCAATCTCTTCCGACTCTATCCAAGGCTCCTTGTATAGGATGTGTAACTTTTCAACCTTGGAATCAGCATCAGATGGGGTTTCAGGAGAGGTTTGCTGAGTGGGATCAGAATCCAAGGAAGAATATGTACTTACATGTTCAGCCTCTCCATCCGTAGTGTGTTGATGATGCCTCTACCCCCGTTGTTGGTTTCCCTGCTGCAATCTGAAACAGTGTTGGACTGAATGTCCCGGTTTGGTGCAATGCAGGCAAACTCCTCTCTTCACCCTGTTCTTCCACTCACTTTCACTAATCCGGAGATCTACCTATGGTTTTGTGGCAGGATCTTCCGGTTTTGGTGGAATCTTTGCTCCCTTGGGAAGAAGGATAGTGTTAGTGTTGTTCTTCATTGTGGTCCTCGGTCCCTTGCCTTTAAAGGCAGTCTTCTTAAAGGCATTCATGGATTCCTCATCATTCACCAACTCAGACTCGTGGGCTGACGCAGAGCATGATGCCTCACAACCTTGCTCTTGATCGTCATCAAGAGAAGGGTTGTCTGCGAAGATCTCCTCGTCATCCTCTAGCAGATCGTGTGCTGCTAAACGATTGTTGCCAGAAAACCGTTTGCGGCCAAGGGCTCTTTTGCCACTCGATCCACCCGGGAGGTCTTGTGCCTCCAGCTTGACTAGATTCCGCATGAGGGAAAGCCAATCTGTATATTCCACGAGTTTGAGGCCCAGGCGACGAATTTCAGCAGAGGGGACCGTTGCTTTTATCACATCCAAGCAAGACTGTGCAATCATTTCCAAATTGGGAGTAGCAAAGAGCTTACTGACATACTGCTGCAGACTTTGCATGGTGCCAGTCTACTTGCTGTGCTTGAGTTTATCAAGCTTAAGTCTTGCTTTTGCTGCAGCATGTGGATCGGCATACTGTTGAATCAAGAGATCCTCAAGTGTGGCTACAGGCGTAGCCTTTAGCCATTTGTTCAGGTCTATACGTTTATAGCCTGCTTCTACAGCTTGGATTTCTAGAAATCCTCTCACGGCAGGTTCCACATTGGTCCCAAGGACCGACGACTGAGTGACTGGGGGTGTCCCGAACACATCAAAGTAGGACCGCATGGTGCTGATCCATGACTCGACGTCGTCTTTTCCGTCGTACTTGGACGGAATCTGTGCCGCCTTTCTGTCGAGGTAAGCAAAGTTGTTGCCCGTCCCAGCCATTGCTGGGTCCGGGCCCGGGGCTGCAACAGTTCCTGAAGTCCCTGCACCACCACTTGCCGCTGCAGCAGCAGCAGCGAGGTCTGGACTTGCTGCAGATCCGCTTTGGCTGTTAACCACACTCAAAGAAGAAGAAGTTGAAGGAGAAGAAGTAGACGTATTCAGAGGGGCAAAATTGGACTGACACGCAGCATTGGAGGCAAGGTAGGTGAGTAAAGAGACGATTTGAGCCTGCTGCGAACTAGCAAACTGTTGCAGCTGATCGCGGTGCTGCTGCGCCATCTTGGCCATGTCTTCGCGCAACTCCTTGAGCTGCTTAAACACCTGTGCGAGTTGGCCAGTATGGTCCTCAGCAACCTGGACCCCTGCTAAGGCTCTGAGGAGGGGAACCGTTTTCTCTTCTACCTCCTCATCAGTCAGAGTGGACACGGTGCTAAGGACGGCCTCGTGAGCCTGCACCTTATCCCTTCTCTCTCTCTCTTTCTCTTCCTCCTCCCTCTTCAAGGCTTTCTCGTAGAAGAACTGATACTGCGGTTTTTCTGCCTCAGGGGCAGCGTCCATCTGCAGTTTCCAATCTGCTGCAGATGCCATGATGGAGGATGAGGGTGTCAGTAAGACTTTCAAGAGGGGTCCGTACTTCCTCTCAGTTTTGTGACGAACGCTCCTCTTCCCTCTCCTCACTCCCTCAAGAGCAACACTCAATAACTTCTTTCTTCTCTCTCTCTCTCTCTCGTTTGCGACCGTGTAGACACAGGCATTAAAGAACCCAATGAAAGAAACAACTTGAAATCATTCAGAAGAGAAGGTAGAACTCCTAGCCGGAGCGGCAATTCATTTGGAGTGGAGAGCAGTCAAAACAACAAAAAAGAAAAGATCAGAGAGATCTGATCCAACCACACAGTCTGGACTGACTACGTATGGGGTCCTCCCAAGCCTAGCCAGCCTCAGCTCCGTGAAAACACAGCAAATCAGATTCAAGATGTACAGCGAAATGCAAGAGAGAATTGAGTGGTGTATAAGGTGCGAGTCAGGCGGCGGATTGCGCAGTAAAGTCTGATAAAACGTCCCAGCGGAGGTCCCCTCCGCAGCGAGTGTCCTGGTCCGAAACCATAAAGTCCGTATCCCAATCAGATAGAGCAAGGTAACTTGGCCTGAGGGGCCCTTCATGTTTGGGCCCGGTCCCACTGAGTCCTAAATGGTCCCAGTGGAGTCAGAACCGGGTCCCAACCAACAAGAGTTCTACTCTATCCCTACTTGAATTGAAAAACGAAATTTTGCCCCAGAAAAAACCTGTAGACTACCGCCGTTCAGAATGAAATAAACAAAGCACTGTAGAAAGATATCACATAGCAAACAAGATACTCCATTCATTCACTCATCAGGTGAGTAGGCAGTTCACACACCTCACACACAATCAAGACTATGGAGGATGGAAGAAGAACCCAGAGAACCCCAACAGGCAGTCAACTCCATGCACACACACATGGGCACCCTGGTGGCACGGCACTTACCTGAGTGGCCGGGCTCTTGAGATGAAAAGCTCACCCCCCTCTCACATAGTCCTGACCCAATTAGCATCCTCTACACTAGTGTCCTATCATCTAGGAGGGTCAACATCTACCCCAAAGTACAAAGTCGGATCCCCCGTCAATGTTGAAGATCAAAGCAGCAACTTGCAGTCCGTAGGTGCAGATATGGCTGCCACCCTCAAGCTCGCCTACTTGAGGGGAGCCCTAAAGTCACTCCTCGTCTTCCTTGAAGTCCAGATTCAAGTTGTGGGTGCCCTTCACTGTCCCCTCTCTCAAATTGCATCACGAAGTCCCACCTTGTGTCTCGCCACCACAAACATGCACTCAAACAACCTGGCCGGGTCTAGTGTCGACCCTACACGGCCCTGCCAGGTGGGAGCAGCTTCCCTATACCACGCTGCTCCACTTAACCCTAACTTCCAGCCCTAACCCTAAGTGGTAGCCCTTACCATTAGGGTTAGGGTTATGGCAGCAAAGTCAACTCTCGCCAACAAGTAGAATCCCCTCCGATACCAATGTTACGATCCTGGCCAATTTCGAAGTCCACAATCATCAGAAAGTACAATGTTGTCCAATTGCGAAAAGAAATGAATGAACTTGAGCCCAATGCCGTCCAATTGCAAAAGAAATGAAAGAACTTGAGAGGAGAGAGAGGGAAAGAAGAAGAAGAAGAGTAAGAAAGAAGAAAGAGATGATGTGCTCCAGCATAGACCAAAGACAAAGCTCTTCTTCTTCGCTCAACAACCTCCTCCTCTTTATCTCCTCCTCTCTTATTCAAACAATAAATAAACAATAATAATGTGGAACAGCTGAACCAGAATCAATGTCCGAATCCCACTTCTACTGCAGGCACAAGATGAGGTCCACCATAGCCATGGCAGCCCTTCTTCTTCCTCCACATATAGGCCGAGGCTATGGCGGACTACGGAGGCTTCAGCCTCCTGTGCAAAAGACAACCCAAAGCAGCTATACCGCTGCCCCACTTCAAGGTCATCACCCAGCAGCTATGCCGCTGCCCACTCAACCGCCATGCCTGACTCTGTCCGAGCTTCCTTGATGCGGCACTACCCCCACTGGGGCCTTCCTGATGCAGCGCCTAGCAAGGAGATGAAGATGGTGTCTACCATAGCCAGTAAGTACCTTGCCACTCTCCTCCTTGGTCCCCTTCTCCCTCACCATAGCCAAGGTGGAAGCTCCCGGCTTCTTCCTCCCAGCAGCGCTGTAGTGCCCAGCGCTACTCCAGCCAGCGCTCCAGCAGCGTGACGCCCAACTCGCACACTGAAGAATGAGGCCGGGCTCTTTGCCCTGCCTCTTGATATAGCGGCCTACTTGCCTCCTGGGTGGTGACTTCCAGTCTGCTCGGCCTCTCCAAGCAACCGGTACCTCCTCCGTTTCGGAGGGAAACATCATTGCAGACCCTGATATTACCCGTACAGGCTCTAGACTCAGACTGGTTGGACTGGTACTGGCCTAGACCTACCCTACCGCTACTGGACTCTAAAAATGCCAACTTGAGTGTTTTTCCGCTACCCCAAGGGCCTCAGGGCCGCTAGCTTCGCCACTTGAATGTTTTCCCTGCTACAACCCTCAATGCCACGGCCACAGGTAAGTACCAGCCCTACGGGCCTACCAAACAAACAAGTACCCTTGCCGGTCCCACACGCACTCATACCAACAAGCACTCAGACAGGCATGCAGGTCACAAGCACGCACACACAGACAGACTTAGAAACACAGCAGAATGCGGGAATCTCAGCAAGGCATCCATTCCATCGGCAGAACTTCAGAAATCAGCAGTGTTCTCAGTCTGTGTTTTGACGGGTCATTACATATTTGAATAATTTGTCAGATTATATTTTAATCTAGGTTACGAGAGTGGCCTTGGACCACTCGCCCAGTCAGACCAAAAAAGCATTAAAATAATAAAACATTATATGATTATAAGTTTTATAACATGGCTACGCCGGACCCGGACCCGGACAGCTCATGTCCGGGGACTGGACGCATGTCCAGTCGGGTCCGGACGTCCGGGTTTCTGGACCCATCTGGACCTCCAGACATGCATGGTTCCGGGTAGTCCGGACCAGTAACAGGTCCGGAAATCCGTACCGTCATAAAAAAATTGAGGCCGTCCGTTGGATAGGGGGCTACGAGCGGGCGCGGCAGGGGGCATGACGAGGCTTGGAGCGGGCGTGGCAGGGGGCTTGAGGAGGTTTGGAGCGGGCACGGCAGGATTCTACGAGCGGGCGATGGCAACACGTTGCTGCTCGTTAGTGGCCAGTGCTCCTGAACTGTGTGGAGACTGCGCGCAAATGGCAGCCCCGCGTTCGAATTCAAACATTGGTAGGGGCTGCCATTTGCGCGTAGCCTCCGCACAGTTCAGGTGAGGGCCGACAGGGTCCCTTTCTACACGATCGATCCCAGCCGCCGATCTTCGATGATCGATGGCTGGGAAAACGCGCCACGAAAGGGTCCCTTTCGGTCCTCCAAAAAAGAATTTCCGGTTTCATGTGGCCTGCAGGGCGCATCAGGAGGCCACCTGGACCTGCCCAGGCTCTCCCGACCCCCCGTTCAGGATTGCTCTGGGCCCACCCGGCAGTCGATCGAGGGACCCAACCGGCCGGGCCGCCCGGCACACCCCCCCCCCCGGGCGACCAGAACAGACATTTTCACAATTTTTCAGTCCTCGTTTTCGGTATTACCTTTTCTGAACCTTTGAGAGAGAGTTGGAAATGATTCTTTTGAGTGAGAGCTTTGTGAATGGAATCACTCGTGCCTCCAATTTTAAATGGAGGAAACGAAAAATCAGCCGGGCACAGTATACTAGAACGATCGAGGCGTTCCGGCACGCAGTGCACTGAGTGTGCAGTTGGAGGACATGATTCCAAATAGTAAAGCTACAACAGTGTATCACAGTCAATGTGGCAACATCCTCTACGCATCAGCACAACATCGTTTCCATAGATTCGATCGCATTTCAGATACACGCTTTCTCCTGTTCGTTAATCACACACTGGACAACGGAAACGACACGCTCCTAGTTTCCACAAATAGATTTGATCACATCTTCCATGCATTCAAGTACACGTTTTTGCCTATTCCTCCGTTAATTACTTCACTCACTAACAGAATCGACACGCTCCTTGTTTCCACACCCATTCGTCATTCAACGCGAACAGCACTCCTCACTCAATAACGGAATCAACACGCTCCTTGTTTCCACACTCATTCATCATTCAATCGTAAGCGACACAACCATAGTGTGAGCAGTACAAAGCAAACCGCAGGCTATTCTACACCATAAGAGGCAAAATACAAATTCCTTCTGAGAGATAGTTACAAAGTCACGAAATACAGCTTGAAGCGCAGAAGAACTTGACACATGAAGCAGCGTCCTACTCCATATGTCCTGGCAAACGCCCTACGCGTTTCTGCTGCCGCCAGTGCAGCGTCATCAGGGGCTACACTACTCTCGAAAGGTGAGTCCTACCTCTACTGTCCTGCCTTTATACATCTCCCTTTCCCGTATTACCCGGTTCTCCAAACACGTTTCCCGCTCTTCGAAACCTTTTGAAAATTCAAAAATAACCTGTCCTTCAATTCGCGCCATCTGTCCTTCCGTCCACCTCTGTCCTGCTCAGTTCGCTCGATCGCTCGGTTATTACCGGTTCATTGTGGCGCCACCCCGCCTCGGCATACCCGTCGGTGGTTACCAAAACATCGCTCTCTATTCTACCGTACTCCTGGGCCAGGTACATGGGTCCATTCCCAATTTAAAAATCTATGTTCTGCGTTCTGGTCAGTTTCGTCCCGTAGCAGTTCAGCCCAGTCATCCCAGGCACCGTCCTTAGCCTGCAAAAAATACGCTAGTCTCGAATCAAAAAATTGGCCTGGGAACCCCCGTTTACGAAGTTCAATTTTCAGGGCAAGTAGGGAACCCCCGTTTACGCACAGTATATAAAATGGAGTACAGCATGCATGTCTTTCGGGACATCCGTTTTAAAAACGTTAAATTGGAATTATATTCGATACAGAGGAGATCAGCATTAGCATGGCCCCTGCACTTTCTTTTCTCTGTGTTTTTTTTTAATTATTATTAAATAGAGGGAGTGGAGCACAACCCAGCTTAGCTTTGTAGATTATAAAAGCCAGGCCACGGGCCTGGCGTCCCTCACAAAAACGAAGGTGGTCGGATTGATGCGCAAGGCATCATCGGCCAAGCCCAAAACCCAGACCGTTACTGGCTGCAAAACCCCAATTACACACAGCAACAAAAAAGGATGCTGACGTCACCTCAAGCAAGATAGAGGGCATAGCCGGGAAACAGGAGAGAAGAAAAAAGTGAAGTAACACATAGATCATCTGGCCCGTGCACGTTCAAGGATGACCCGCATAAATCGAGAAATGGTCCCTCCCCAAAAAAAAAGAAAAAGAAAAAGTGGACAATATCTTGCATACATCGTAAAAGCATGTGGGGATAACGGCGTGCATGCATCATAATAGCAGTTTCCCTGTTCAGTTGCTTTTTTTTTTGCCATTTTTTTGTTGTTCATACGTTCCAAAGGAGCTGCAGAGAAGTCAGCAGAGCTTTGCAGACAGAATCAACCTGTTTTTTTTTTTTCACCTTCCGTCCAACCTCCGATTTTTGAAATTTCACCATGTAGCGATAGGGATAGGAACATCTTTAAAACACTGTGCATCAACGACTATAGATTGCCCCTAAGGTAGACCGTTTTCTGTCACCTCGTTCTGCTCCCCTTCAGATTTTCAGTTTCTCGGAACTTCCTCCCTTGGGACCAGAATGCGAGGATGGCTGCCCCCCCCCCATCAAGCTGAGAGGTACCATGGTACCATTCAGCATCCATGGTGAGTGGTATCATGGATGCCGAGAGGTACCATGGTACCATGGATGCTGAGAGGTACCACGGTACCATGGATGCTGAGAGGTACCACGGTACCATGGATGATGAGAGGTACCATGGTACCATGGATGCTGAGAGGTACCACGGTACCATGGATGCTGAGAGGTACCA